GAAGCTTTGTGTGCAGACCACTCCTAAGTCATCAACGGGTGTTTCCGTATTCTCTCGTTGTGCTCTGCTTTTAGAGGTTTATTAACTTCTGAATGGGTTGAAAGAGACCGAAATGACCCTCCATGATAGGATGTACAGATCCACTCGTAAACCATCCGCCACTCCATGTACTAGCTCACCAAAATCTCTGCCTCATTGTCTTGAGTATGGAATTCCTTCTTTTGTAGGGATGTCCAAAAAATCTAAATGCTGAGATGCAGTGACGAACCCAGGAGAGGGAGGGGTTTATTTACACTTTGACAAATAAATTTGCTTGCCACTTGGTAAAGTCTTGCTACAACACAGGGCAATCCATGAGCAGATGCTAGATTGCGGACGTCTTGCAGCTGTCTCTTGACATGGCTCTCCACTGCCCTCGGTGGTATTATAACGCTACTTTAACTCGAAGTCATGATTTGTCGGTTGGAATAGATGGATGTGATTGCAGCTTTTCTACTTTACGCATCGGCCTTGTCTCGGTTCCAAGTTTTTGGATGTTTCACCTGCTGCTCTTCAAATGGCATTGGAGGTGGAAGTTAAGGTTCTGGAGGGCAAAGATTTGTACTAAATGGAAGGAAGGCGTGCTTATGGTGACGATTTGTGCATTCGGATAGAAAAAGCTGGTCTATTTTTGAATAGAGTAGGAAAATCCGAAATGAAGTGGATAGTGAAAACGATGAGACCAAGCGAATTGTGTGTCGCATAGCATCACATTCCATGGCCGATGTTGCGTTCTCAGGTCACATTGTCGATGCATTCCCCACCGTCTTGCGTGTGCTGTCAAACTGTATTGGGAAATTTGGATTGTTTGAGGACTGATTGGGAGGTGGTGGTGAGAGAAGGCCTTAGTATTTCTAGCCGTTGATTATTCTTAACATATTACATCATCTTCAAAAGCCTATTCTGCGGAGAAGCGCTGACTCAATGGTGTCTTGTGCCAAACCACTTTAGCCGACGGTATATGTTTGCTCAAGAAGCTCAGAATTGCCAGTTGGGAAATCTTAGCTTCAGGAAAGGTAGTAGGCGGGCCTGGTGAATTTTATAGTTCATACTTTCACGGTAATGGAAGGAGAGTGATGCCATCTCGCCCCCACCGGCAATGCTGTCACCACTCCTAACAATTTCCTCCGTATTCGTCCAATGATTTTGCCCCAATTTACGAAAGATTGGTGCTTAGTGATCCAGCTTGAGACAGGCAGAAGGTGAGATGGCCACGAAGATGCAGGTACACCGGAGTGGCACATAATCCCTTCGTGGCAGCATGGCAGTGAGGTCAGCAGTAGGCTAATGCCTATGCACAGCAAATGCATTACAGATAGAGAGGATGACAAACCTACAATTGGAAGTGGTGTTGCAGGACCTCAATCCTGTCAAATCGATGGTGATACCTACGGCATGGCAAACAGCTACCAAGTTGTTCATACTGTTTTGACTACTTTCGTCGCAGGTAATGCCACTCCTTTCGTTTGCGCAGGTCTCTATCGTCGGCTGAACCTCAACATGCCACCTCGATTACCCGTGCGAGAGGACATCATTGATCACACTTTGGACTCTCCACTGACTCAAGTTGGACTCTTTGTGGCGGGTGCCTGCGGTCGCGCATTCGCCGAAGCCGGTGTCCGCTTCTCGGTTTGCTACGCTTCACCCGCCCTTCGTTGTGTTCAGACTGCCTGTCAGTTATTGCGAGGAGCAGGGCAGGTAGGCATCTTGGTTTTTTTTTTGAGAATTTCCAGTCACATTTTAATTTTCTAGGACACTCAGAAAGCACAGAGTCGAAGAATGCCATGTACAATGAAAGAGCATTGTAATGTCGTTTTTCTCTGTCGATTTGTAACGACTTACTATTCTCTCATTGATATGGTCATTCAAGGCATGGCTTAAGGTTTATACGTCCTCCAAATCGCGCAGCAGGTTGTCATCTCTGATGTATTACTTTCTACTATCTTCACAGATGACGAGCAGTTCCACTTGAGTAGTTTTCTTCACAGTATTGAATTCTGAGATAAGGAAATGCGGTCTTTGAGGCCTGAGTGTTTGTCTCAGCTGGAGTATTTCGCTCTTCCGATGAGCTGACTGCATAATTTCATCAATTGGCCACGTTTTTATGCAATGTGTGTGTGTGTGTGTGGAGAAGCGCATTTGCGCATTTGATGCCGTTTCCGCGTCTTTCATTCTTGGCGCTATTTCCCACTTAATTCTGTTTCCCATCAAAAAGGA